AGCTGTAAGACCCAGCAGTTCTACTGGAGGTGGTTTGGTAATTTTGGGTAGGTTTACACAGTTTGAAGTCTCGTTCCTCAAGACCGAAAGACGGAACTAATCCTGCTAACCTCTTAACAAATAACCTGTTGTAATTAGGCTGCAGAGACAGTGATTTAGCATCTTTGAGCCTAGAATATTGGTACACCAGAAAGTTCAATATATTCCTTAGACTCCAAAATCGAGAGAAAAACTTGATTTTCAGGAATTCGGCATCTGTGGTTGTGGCCAGGTTTTTATAGTGATCCACTCCAGAAAATCCTTAGAGTGGGTCTTGGAATCTGATTTTCAAGCAAGTGCCCAAATGAATGCAAAGCTTCAGTGGAAACCAGACTTTAGAAAACCTGGCCTGATGGTGGAAATGCTTGAGTTTGGCAATCTGTCTGTAAAGGCACTGCAAGACATTGACAGACTTGCAGGAAGGTTTGGCACTCTGAGCCAACAATGATTTGTGTGTTTTCAAAATAGACATCAGGCAAAATTGTGCCTTTGGCACATCACAGTTCTTTCCGAGTCAGTTTTTCTTTGAATTTGAGTTCAAAGCTTTGCCAGCAAGAGTGATTTTTCCCTCAGCAGCAGCTACAGAAGTAGTTGACCTGTATGCCTGAGCTCCAGGGCATTTGCTGTGCTTAGTCCTTTTCTGCGTGCTTTAGTCAATAGACCTTGGTATTTCCCATTGAGGTACAAAAAGTGCTACTTAGCCCTCAGTAGGACCTTTTAACCGCTGCTTTAGCATGAATGTAAAATACTCAGGACTATGAGTAATTACAACAATATTCTGTCATCTTAAATAGTAAGATACTACCGAAACGCAGATGGAATTTCTTTCTTATTACTAAGGTCAAGAAGCAGCAGCAGCAAGGATCAAAATTTGTTTACTAAGGTTTTTGCAGTGCAGTGTTCCTGGTAAAAGTTTTCAGAGGTTTCTGTTATAAAACATGCCACGGGGCCTCTTTATTATCTCATTTTATCAGTGTACATTCCGAATAACTCCTGTGGGTTAGATACTGATGTACTAGAATGACTTGAGATTAACAGCTGAGTTCTGGTTTACTTTAGGATGATACAATGTAATAGTGAAAAAAATAGATAGTTATCAAGCTCCTTTATCATTAGTGTAAAGCAAGGGTAGCTTTGCTCAAATTTGTGCTGATTTAAACTCTTTACATTCTAAATTCTGTAATTAAGGCAGGTAAACTGCAGTGATGTTTCCATGGATTGGCTCTGACATGTATGGGTGATGAATTGTGTGTGATGAGGCAGCTGGCAATAAAAGTTTGATCTGAAAATTATTTATAGGGGAATTAATTTCATAATGGAATTATGTGCTTTAAGAAGAATAATTGGAAGCTTTCTTCCCTTTGTTTAAAATTATACTGAAAATCAAATATGTAGTATGTGCTGAAATCTGTGCATTACAGTTTAGTTTTAGGTAGTCATGCAATGAGAAGGGAGTTTGACTCCATGATCCTTATAGGTCTCTTCCCACTTGAGATATTCTGTGTTATGGGAATACCGCAGCAAATCAACCATTTCGGAGTAAAGAAAAATCTCTAACACAGGGAAGATAAGCCAAGTCCCTCTCTGCACATCTAATTACATTGATATCTCTTATTTAATTAAAACATACATAGATGTATGCTCAGCTTTACAGTCTTGTGGTTTTGGTTAAGAATTCTCCTCCTCACCCTTGGAAGCCCCACTACCAAAACCATGCCATGCAAACCAAATACAGCTGGAAATGTATTTAGCAGTCAAACTCACACAATATTTAGGATGTAAGAATTATCAGACTGAATTGGCTTAAAGGTCCTCCTGGCCTGATCTTTGGCTTTATATTTTGAATGACTACATTAGCCTAAGGCAACAAACTCTAACTTTCAATTTTATGTTGTATGAAGATGTGTTTCCTTCTGTTTCTTTGAAATGCATGGCCTGATAATTCCAGTGTATGTTCTTCATTCTTGAGAAATAATGAGTTAGCATTTCTGTTTACAGAAACAATTCTGAACCTGTGGCTGTTCTGCTTGACCTTTGCAGGATCTACTCTAATTTTACTATACCTTTGGCAAAAAGAGTAATCTGAGAGTTGAGGGCTTGACTTACGATCACAGAAAAGTGAGATTCATCAGCTGGTTTATGATGCAATGTGTTCTGATTAAAGAAAAGTGTATCATCTTACAGATCTGCAACGAAATCAGTTCCTGTTAGATATACTTTTTTCCTGGAGGGGTTTGTATGAACTGCTGGAAAGTACAATTCATCAGCCTCCTCCTATCTGCTGCTCAGAGTGGAGATAAGAGAAAGAAGGGGAGATAGGTCTGAACCAGATCTCTGAAACCTGAACCCTAATGTGTTTTTTTGTTAGGGGAAAGAAAGCAGTTTTACCAGAAATAAGGATTTTTCAACCAGGTAGATAGAGTGCATGTTCAAAAACCTCAAGATGTGCCCTCATTTTCACAGATGTGGAAATGGTTAAGTGTAAGTGTTGAACTAGGACGTTACACATGTATCCCTTCACAGGTGATCAGATGCATTGCAGAAGTGGTAAGGGTAGTTTTATTGCATATCTTCATGTATTTAACTGTTTTTCTATGTACTCAGAAGGTAAGAAGTTGGAAAACTCCTAAGGCTGCTGTCTCTAGGGTAGTACTCCTAAAGATGCTCTGTCTGAACAGAACTAGAAGATACAGTGCAAATAAGAGGTGAAATATGAAGGAACACCATCATTTTACAACGTTTTTGGGGCTTTCTTTTCTGTTAAGGTTGCAGATAATACAGAACATGGCTGATGTTCTGGCAAGACATTAGTAATTGTCTTCTACATTTATAGCCACAGCAATAACAGACACCAATGCACCTTCGGAAATATTAATTGCGTAATGCACTTGCCCAAAGCAGTTCTACTATTGTTACTAATATTAATGGTTCCACTCATCCTTCCGGGTATAAGCTGTGTGTCACCTTGTGCACTTGATTGCCGGAGTCTGCACTTTTGAAGTGTCCCAAGACAAATGTCATGTGCGTATATGTGTGACCTTGTGGGCTGCAGATACAAATAACAGATAAAGGTTAGACTCTGTGGCCTAAACCTTGATGCTCTCACATGCTGGCCCAGCTAAATCTTCATTCCTTGCCCTTAAAAGGCTAGATCCTGCCTCCCACTTCACACCCAGCCTCCTTCCTAATCGTCTCGCCTCCAAGTAAGGGTAACTGTACCCTCCCTCTAGTTCAGCTCCTGCCTTTTGTCCTGGACCCAACCCTCATTTCTCTTTTACATTCATCTCCTTCAGTTCACACAGCGTTAAGTTGGGGTCTGAAAGAAATCCCCACCTTGGCACAACGGATTAGAGTGTGAGGGATGGAACAAATGTGAGAAAGGTTAAACAAATGTCCTGAAATGAATTTTCAGGTTCTTCATAACTTTTTTGTTCTGTCTCACAAATGGGTATTTTGGGTTCCTTTTATTTCCCATGCTTCCCAGCCGCAATGGGCAGTGAATGTTAGTTACAGTAATCTCAAAACTTCTTACAGGATCAGGCACCTGGAGCAAGAGGAGGACAGGGAGGAAAAACTGCTTTGCCCAGTGCAGGTGGTGAGTTTGCGCACTGAAAAAGCCACCTGTTGATCTTTGACTCATTCAATGACCAAGTCATGTCAAATTCTAACCTGACAAATTCCTGGTAAGTGATTAAACCCTGAGACAATAGCGTATGTCTGCCTCTTGACACTGTCAAAAACCGCAAGTGCGCTCATTCGAATTCTCCCTTTGATGCTTTGAGGTCAGAAGTAATTTTGATCAAAAGCTAGAGGAATTACCCCAAACTTATGCTAAAGGGCATTCTTTGTTTTGGTCTTTAGTTGCCCTCAGAATCTCTACGTACTGTTTGAGAGCTCAAAGATGTCTGGCTAAATTAAAATAAATGCATTCCAAATTCCAATTAAAAAAAATCACACTCATTTGGACAGGGAATACTTGCATGGATCTTGTGATTTAAAGCAGAACAAAACTCTGGTCATACTGAGCAAACCTGGCTACTGAGTAGATGTAAATGTGTCTATTTTGCAGATCTGCATTGTGCAGAGATCACGGGTGATGACAACCTGCTAATGCTGAAGGTCTCTAAATCTGCAAAAATAAATGATGTTTTACCTGCAAGCAGCAGATTATTTAATCCATTAATTTCTACAGAAGATTAGCATTTTTAGGCTCAGTGTTCACATTTCTGGCTAAAAACTGAATAATGCTTGGGTTTGGGACATTATGTTGATTTTATCACCTCTGAATTTGGGCAATTTTCAGCCTGAAACATTTTTCATTTGGGGGAGGGAAGACAGCAACATTTTCAGATAAAACATCAGCCAGACCTGCTCCCCCAGGCCTGAAGGGAACCTTGGTGATGGCCCCATCACTCAGAAAAGCATTTTCCAGTTATATAAACAGGTACTACCATTATTCTAGCTACATGGTGAGGCATGATTTCATTGCAGTCCTGGTAAAGTGACATCTTGACCATTACTTGTGTGGTGGTCTTTGTGGGTCCCAACAGTCACGTGGTAATGAAGCAAGGTCTGTGGGGCTTGAGACATAGCAAATACTGAAGCTTCAGTGCATGAGTTGCTAATCAAAGTGAAACAATTAGCCCTTCTATCATTGTTTAAGCTCAGCAAGCAACTAAGTAACACGCAGCCACTTGTTCGTTCATCCCTCCTCACTGCTGCACAGTGGGATAAGGATGAGAATCTGAAAAAGAAAAGGTAAAATCCTGTTGGTTGACATAAGAACAGTTTAGTAATTGAAATAAAGTAAAATACAATTATAATATTAATAACAAAAACAATATATCACTAATAATAATAAGGAATAAAAAAAGAGAGAATAAAACCCAAGAAAAATTTAAAGCACAACCCAGTTGCTCACCACCCACTGACTGATACTCAGCCCAACCCGAGCAGTGATCTGCCCCTTTCAGGTAACTCTCCCAGTTTCTATACTGGTCATGATGTGCTGTGGTATGGAATACCCCTTTGGCTAGTTCAGGTGTCCTGTCTCTGCTTCTTCCTGGCTTCTTGTGCCTCTCCTCACTGGCAGAGCATGAGATTGAAAAGTCCTTGATCAGGGTAAGTGCTATTGAGCACCATCTAAATCATCAGTGTGTTACCAGCAGTGTTCTCAGACTAAAGCCAAAACACAGCACTGTACCAGCTACTAGGAAGAAAATTAACCCTATCCCAGCCAAAATCAGGACACCACCTTTACCATTTTAGGGTAATCCTGTAGAGGTGATGGTTTATCAGACTCAGTGCTGGCTGGTCCTTCTGGCCCAGCTCTTTGTAATTGTTCTTCAGCTGCTAATAAGATATGTGACTGAGGTAAATCAGTTGTTCTCCCTGCCCCTTCCCTATCTGTATAACAGGGGCAATGAGATTAGTGAGTGGCAAGTTCTATGTCAGAGCAATTTTTATTATCCTGATTGAAGTTAGTTAGCCAAAATGCTTGTGATTATTCACTGAGTCAACAAAATATGTCCTTTTAACTTGATCACACACATCTTTTGGGTATCCTGTGATGGACTTTGCAGATGCTGGTGAGATGTGAATGCATCGATGTGCTGACAGCATTTTGAAAATGTGCCTCCAAAATGAGAGCAATAGTTGAGGGAACCTGTCCTCAGGGTATGTGCATGCATGGTGCTGTGCTCCGTGTTCCTGGTATGACTGCAACAGACAAAACAATAGCATGGCTATATTAACTTATTCATTGGTATTAATTAATAGCACCTTTAGTGGTCATAGTTTTGTGTTCTAATTCTGGCAGAACCTGGCTATGTTCATGACCATGGAAAACCTGGCACCGCTGAGCACTGTCGGTGAGCTTGCGCTTCAGCAGAGCAAGGCCAAGCTCCTCCATGGCCATGTGAGCGGTCCCTCCCGGCGCAAGCGGGAGTTCATGCCGGATGACAAGAAGGACACCATGTACTGGGAGAAGAGGCGCAAGAACAACGAGGCTGCCAAGCGCTCCCGGCAGAAGAGGCGCCTCAATGACTTCGCCATGGAGAGCCAGCTCATCGCTCTCAGCGAGGAGAACTCCATCCTCAGGACAGAGCTGCTGTCCCTGAAGCTGCGCTTTGGGCTCATCAGCCCCGACACCAGCACCTACCAGAGTAACTCCCTCCAGGATCTCCTGGGAGTTTATTTCAGAGGGCACAGAGCAGCCTCCCCGCACCTCGAGGCAGAGCCCTTTGCTGGCGAGCCCTGCTTCTTCACAACAAAGAGCTTTGTGCCAAAGGTGCTGGAGCCAGCAGACCTTTCCTGCAAAACCTTTGGCCCATCCAGTAACATCCTTGGCTGTGACTCCAAGCCAGCTCCCATGGACACACCTGGCCTTCAGGAGCCTATGAGGCTTGATGCATCCTTCATATCCACAGTCTGCTCTCCATTCCCCAGTTATCACTGCCCAGACAAATATGCTTTCCATTTGCCTTTTTCAGGCAGCGCCTGCTTCTTGTGCCCGTCCCCCAGTCTAGCCAAGGTGAGCAAAGGAAGCAGCACAACTGTGTCAGATGAAGATGATGAGCAACAAGTGCCCAAAACCTTTCCTCTACAGCCATGCAGCCTGCCATGCCCTTCAGAAGATCATCTGAAGGGCCGAAGCTACACTGCCCTGCCTCACAAGCTCCGTATTAAGACCAAAACCCTCAGCAGCTTGGAGGAGAGTGGCCTGGACTCCCACTGAGGTAGCAGAGGAATGGCCCACTGTGGGGCCAAGACCTTCCAAAGACATGAAGGGTTTGGAAGGAGGGGGTGGGAGGAAAACATCTTGTGCTTCAAAAGAGGGAAGTAATTTTCTTTGCTTTGTGTAAATGGTAGGGGAATTTATAGGTCTGGGCTGCATCAGTACAGCACAACTGGAGCTGGCCATTATGTCCATCTTGCTGGGTGAGACCTGCAGTTGTTGTGTAAGTATGACTTCCACACAGCTGCTCTGCTTACAAACCAAGCTAAAATCTGAGGCACGATGAGGCTAAGACAGTAGAGGTGGTACTCATGTAGCACAACAACTGCTTGGGGTAGCAACCATTTGAATTACCTGTGCTTCATTGTTGCCTTCATCTTCACAAATGTTCTTCAAGTCTTAATTGCTTGATAGGAGAAACTGTTGATGGAAACCGTTAATCTTCATCTGTCCATGAGGGACATGGGGGCATGGTTTCACTTCTGTGAAAGAAGGAGGGGATATAGAAGTGTGCAATGACCAGGGTGGGGAGGGAGATGTCTAACATTTTCTGCAGGTGTGTCCCTTTATGGATATAAGGGATATATGTATATCCCTTTATGGATATAACTCTACCAGCTGAGTTCCCTCCCGAGGCTTTACCCATGTCAGCTGGGCTGCAGGAAATGCTCCCTCCTACCAAATTTGTACACTGAGATGTGTTGGGAAGCTTCAGCAAAGTGGGAACCTGCTTTCAGGCTGGGCAAGCTCTTACTTGCTTCCCACGTGGTGCTTCTGCTCCATCCTCAAGCATTCAAGAAGTGTCCATGCTAAGACGTTTCTAGCATAATCTTCACATTGGTTTTAGCTGTTCCTGGTGGCAAGGGTTTCCATCTGTCTAAGGAAGCTGGTGTTTTCCAGATCTCCAGACTTTGGTTTTATCTAATGCGTATGGGTTCATCTCCTTCCTCCTTTTAAAGCATTTTGCACTCTTTTACCCAAGTGCATGCTGCAAATAGTATATGTACTCATAGAATCATAGAATGGTTTGGGTTGGAAGGGACTTTTGAGGATGATTTAGTTCCAACCCCCTACCACAAAGTATTTGCTGGGGTACTTGCCCTGTCCATCCTGCCTTCTGACTGCTTAGCCTTTGACAAAGCCTGCACTGCAGCCACGGTGAGTGTGGAGGAGGTGTGATACAGCTGGAGAACTTCAACCCAGCCGACCACATAGCTCACGGCTATGTAAGGCAGGAGGCATCTTGAGCTGTAGCTTCATTCATTGAGCTGAAAGCCAGTTGAGCCTCAGTGAGCAGTAGCCTCAATAAAGCCTATTTCATGCTGTTCCTCAGTCACCCCAAAGATAGTTTTCAGAGATGTATTTCAGGTATAGCTGTAACTTCTTGTTCTCAGTGATCCTTTCGTGTTTTGTTCTTTTTCCTAAAGAAAGGAGGCTAATGTAGTTCTGATGTTTCTGTCTGCTAGCTCTAAACATTTTTTTACATGTTGGACAAAACCAGCCTAATCTCAAAGAAAATAAGCAACTACAAATTGCTCTCCTCTGCCCCGATACATTTTCATGCATAGACTTGTAGAAAGCTGCATTGCCTGCTCAGCCCTGCTGGAAACCAGAGATAACACTGGGAACCAAGCTCAGGTCCCTGGGAGTCTCCTCTTTGCTGTTCTGCTGCTCGCAGAACTACTCTGATCCTTTTTGTGTTGCACTATTCCCACTATAATTTCATGGTCTTGACAGTAAAGAGAATTGTCAAGAGTTGTTTTCTATAAACCATTTTATGGCTAATACAGAACTGCATCAATGACAAGACTGTGTAAAAGGACAAACCATAGTACCTGACATGGGATGTAATAATCTGTCAAACTGGTTTGGAAAAGAGGGCCCTGAATGTCAGCTCTACAATGGGTCATCTAAACTGTGGAGGTGTATCAACACATTGTGCCTAATAAATCTTTCTAGAAGCTGCAAAATGTGTTGCCTATCTGTTGGGACTGATTCTGCACCTAACTTTCCTCCTCAGGGACAGCCAGAGTGATAAATACATCTGTGGAGACAAGGGCTGTTCAGCAGGAGCACAGTGAGCTGCGATGAAGGGCACAGGTTCAGCAGGCTGTGGGGAATGCATCTTTGCAATTCCTCTGTCCATAAATATGCTTTTCTCCAGCTCAGCACCTTTTATACTGATAACCCTCGGGGACAAACCCTCCTGACTGTCCATCTCTTGTACTTTGCTGCTGAGATCAGTGCAGAGAAGTGGGCAGACCTTCATGTTGGCAGATGCTGAGGCCAGATCCCCTGGGCTGCAGCATGAGGTGGGCAACTCTACTGTACTCACTGGCATGAAGGGAAACCAGAGTGCTGCAACCACTCCTCAGGTATGAAACTTGATGCAGTGCTGCTTTCAGATGAAAAGAAACCACAAGTGGTTCGATTTCCTGTCCTATTCCTTCTGTCCTCTCTTCCCCTCAGAACTGGTAGGGGCAGCCCCATAGAAGAAGGCTGCTTACAAACTATTTCTCTAGGAGAAAATTGCCTCCCTCCCCGTCACTGCTGGACCAGTTTTTCTCACCACTGTGCATGTGCCTGCAGCCATTTCTGGATGCAGCAAGAGATGCAGGCAGCATCCTGGCTGTGGCAGCAGAGCTGGGGGTAGATCAGCTCACCACACTATGTAGGATGGGTTTGGTGATGGGTTTGGTGCTCAGAGTGAGGGGTGTAGCCCCCAGGACCTACTATGAGATGACCCTGATGGGTTTAAATCTGCAGGTGCCCAAAGGTGACTTTCTGTGGGCATAGCTCATCTGAAGATGACTAGGAAATGAGCAACGCTTCCTGTTTGTTGTGTCTCTGCTGTGGCACAGACCAAGGGCCAAACCTGGAGCTGGTGTAAGCTGCCTGGCCCAGCAGAGGGAGCGGAAGGGTGCATGAAAAGGTGTGAAATCCACTCATGAGATGCCCTCTGGAAAGCAGCGAGCTGCATTTCCCCGTTGTCTCTTGTTCAAGGCTCCACATCCCTGCTCCTGCTCTTCATGTCCTTGCCTTTGCAGCCAGGATGGAAAGTGATGGTGTGGACAGGAGTCGCTCTTCCTCAAGAAACCTGAGCACCAGGACTGCCACACCAATGGGTCTCTCCTGCAGCTGAGAAAAACCTTTCCAAGCAAGGAAGCAGCTTCTGTGTGTGCAGGAGCTCATAACAACAGGACAGCCATCTGCGTTTAACCCAGGTTGATGCTTGAGGCCAGCTCTCTGCTTGCATGAGGAGGTTCAGCTCTAGCCATCTCCCTGGCCCGGGAATGACAAGACATGAGGCTTATGTCCAAGCCAAGTGTGTGTACAAGTCACAGGGAAGTTTTGCTGTCTGCCAAATAACGCCACTCCTGCCTCAAAGCCCCTGGCAGTGCAGGGATGGGGTGGTGGTGAGTGAGGACAGGGCAGCTCTCGGGGCAGCAGCACACGACAGCTCTGGGCTCTTGATGGGGAAATGCAAGTGATTTTGACAAGTGGGGAACAGACAGAGGAGAAAACATGAGTGAAAGGGAAGGGAGTGGAAAGGTTGCATTTGAAGGTTAACACTTGCCCCAGGAGAGAAGAGACAAATGTCTGTGCTCTTCAATAGCATTTGCTGATGAGGTTGTCTCATAGCTATTTGGTTTGGGTTTTTTTCTTAAAAGACCAATTATGTCCCTTTTTTTCCACTGTACTTGTTCACACCCCTGTTGAGCAGAGAGTCTGATGAACATCATTATGAGATGTCAGACCATCATCACCTTCCTGGTGTGGTAGCATTAGTTCACACCTCCCACACTCACTGCATTTCTTTAATACAGCAAGAAAAACCAGCATGGCATGAGAATGAGATTGCAGCAGAGAAAGACTTTCCACTAAATAACCGCAGTGTTTTGCCTAACCTCAGAATCAAACCGTCCCATTCTTCCTGCTCCCTTACTTTCCTGAAAAGGCAGATGAGGGGATTTCTTGTCCTACAAAATCACACATGGAGTGCTGGCACATTGCTGTGACTGAGGAGAGCAGGGCTCCAGCACCGAGCAGGGTGGGTTGACCTCTCCTTTTCAGGCCCTGAGCCCATGATGTGCCAGAGGCTGACTTGTTCATGTCATCCTTGCTTTATATCACCAGAAAGGGCTCAGGAGAAGCCTGAGCTGCACCCATCCCTTCTGCACAAAGAAGCCGTGTCCATGATGAGGTTGATCCCAAGTTGCAGCCAGCTGGTACCCTGGAGCTCAGCACCAGTTCTTCACATCTGCTGGACTGTGCCAATCTCCCAGGCACCCCCTGATGTCACAGGTAACTTTGCACATCTGCACAACATCAGCCACTGACACGCACAGGCTGTGCCACCCCAGGCCTCACACAGCACTGGCAGACAGAAGGCAGGTTTTAACACAGGAGCAGCGGTGAAAAGTGGGCACGGTCCGGGAGGGCTCTGACAGCTCTTTAGCTCACACTCTCACTGAAAACCCCTGTGCAATCACTGCTGCCATGGAGCCTCTTCCCAACACTCAAGCCAATGAAAGGACCCATCCTCCTCCATGGGAAAAAGTTGATGGGTGTCAGGAAGTACCTCTGGGAAGGTAAAAGGGTGACCAGAAGGTGTCTTATTAACAACCAAGCAACTTCTTCCCTGTTCGGTGGCTGTGCTCTGTGCTGGCAGGAGCAAGGTGGTGGCAGTGATGGCAGAGCCCAGCTATCTGCAGGAGATACCATGGAGCAGGCAGAAAAGCTGCCTCTGTGAGTGTAGGCAGCGGCTGCAGAGGGTAGCTGATCTCTGCCTTTCCACTCCCCATCACCCTGCTCTGCACTGAGGGTGAATTGGGAGAGAAAGATGCTGCTCCTCTGGCTTTTGGCTAAGCACAGAGTGGAGGTGGGGGGATCTGCTGGGCTAAAACCACTGCAGATGTGACAGCTGTTTTGTGGGCTGCAGCAATACCTGCTCAAGAGGGCTGTGCTCACCACAAAGTTAACCAGAGTCCTGCCCCTCTGTTAAGCCTTCAACAGAAAAAGGTATAGGCTGAAAGCAAGGTGTTTGATTTTTCAGCTGATATGAGGGATGCAGAATAGCAGCCCTGGCTTGTGCCTCATCCCCTTGTGTTTCCCCTTTCAGGTCACAGGAAACAAAGGTGCAGCTCTTTGCTCTGCATGACACTGGACCATGGTTGCAGCTGCACTGGGCACATGGCGCAGCCCCATCCTTGAGTGCATCCTTGGGGAAGCAGCAGCCAGCAGCTGACACAGGCCCGCGATGCTGCTGTTGGCTTGTTCCTCCCAGCAGCCCAGCATCCGTAGCCCGGGTTTCTGGTAAGATATGAACTTTTCTCTGGAAAGTTTCAGAGGAAATGAAGTGGCCACTTTGAGTCAACTTGAGAGCCAAACACCCTTTGCTTGTCAGAGACCTGTGGGAAAGTGCCCTGCAAGATGCCTCCTGCATCACCCCTGTGGCATCCCTCCTGCATCCCTGCAGCATCCCCTATTCCTCCCACATTCCTTCCACCACATCCTGTGGAAACTTCAAGAGGTCCAGGGGAGTTTCTCAAAAGTTCA